TGGAGCTTGTCAGCTCGAAAGATCAAGCTTAACGTAAAGTCGTGAGTCTTTTGTTGTTGATTGACAATCACAACACACTAGGCAATGCACAGCCGCTAGGACATGTCTTTACGAACAATGGCAGTCTCGAAATCAGCACTTGATCAAACGCAAAAGCAAGACGTAATCAGGAAATACTAATCAATGAAACACTAGGGTAAGAATCTACTCATACATGCATTCTTAGCTTCGCTTGCGCCCCAGAACATCCTTCTTACAACTCATCCTTGGCCGCATCAGACGACTTCGTCTTCTCGTCAGACACCTTGGACTCCTCAGCATCAGCCTCGGCCTCTGGCGCAACCTCTTTCACCTTGAGAACCTGAGCCTTGACGGTGAACTCGATGTCCCTCTTGCCATTGGCGGTGTCGGGACGGGTATGGCTGACGGGCCACGCCACGACGGCGGCATCCTTGGGCACGGCCTGGTAACTACTCAAGTCGGCGAGCGTCGCTGCGATGATATTAGCCAGCTGCTCTTACAAATGCATTCGAGGAATTGGAAAGGGAAGGGAAACGAATGGATGTCAAACTCACCTTCACAGTCACTACCGTCGGCAACAAACAGAGGAAGAACAGGATACAACGCCCCCGGCGCAAAAATAGCAACCCTCCCCTCATCAAGCCCACGATCAACCTCCTCAGCCTCGCCAGGAACAGCTACCCGCTCCGTAATCTTATCCTCTTCCCCAGCAGGCTTCTCAAACACAGCAAACAAACCCTTGCCGGCGCCGTCAGCCCGCTCCTCCTCCTCAATCCACTCGCGCACGCGCAACGGAACATCGGCGTACTCCATCATGAGCACGTTGCGGTCGTACATGTGGCGGTCGAGGCCGGCCCAGCCGCCGGGGTACTCGCGGCCCGAAAAGAAAGTCTTGAGACCGTCGCCCCAGGGGAAGAGGCCCGTCGGCGGCTTGTCAAAGAGGTCGTGGAGGGTGTACTGTGTGGCGGCAAAGGTCTTTGACGAGGAGCAGGTTGGGGTGTAGGCGTCTGTTGTTGCCGAGGTGAAGGGGTCGCGCCAGGGGAAGTTGTCTGCCATTGTGGTTTTTGCTTGGGGTATAGGCGGTTTGCCGATTTGGAAGGCCGAGGTGGCGGTCGCGAGGAGCGCGAGGGGGAGGGATGTGGACTTCATTGTGGTGGTTGTGTTACTAACTTTTGTGAAGACTTCCTCGGTGAGGATGGTGCTTTGAAGAGTGACCCAGGATGCGATGAGAGACTAACACAGGAACATGAACGAAACATAGAATGGCTTTCCTTCACTCATCTCCCAATTGACTTTGCCCGGCCCTCCTCATATAAACAGATTGCTTGTGGCCAGATTGGCAACTCCAACGACATTGTTGTCCTTTGCGGACGCAGCATGCTCCGGATTGCCATATTGAGTCGCGGGTTCCTGATGCCAATGTGGGATTTAATGCGGCCGAGCGACGAGTTCCTCCGTCTACTTCTCCATCCGCACCTTTACCCCAAGTTACGTGAGTTCAAGGCCCCAATTCGACTCCACTTTCCCCTCATTCCCGGCTCGACGGGAGCGGGTTGCGGACCTCGATCCTTGTGCCGCCGTTGTGTCTTTATTTCTGCTGGTCGACTCACGTGTCAACTCATCTTACCTAAGGGATCAATGATCCATGTCTCATTGTGGCCTTGTAATCTTGTCTCCAACTGGCACCATCTGGGTGTTCTCGTCACATCACGATGAGATGAGCTAGCCGATCTCCGAGTGGTGACGTCTGTCTTAGTTCAACGTTCACCCCACCTCAGTTCTATAGATCCTCTCATACGCGCTACGTTAGGCCCAAGAGCCAAGACTGGTGTTTCCTCTCATTCTTAAGTTACTGCAAAAAGAACCTTGATGGCCTTGAGTTCGAAATAAAGACACTCCTATTCCCATTCACTTCATCCCCTATAAAGTGAAATTCATCTCATCCGATCACTAACTCTTCAGCCGTCCTCCACACATGCGATGAACACACGAAAGGCTCTTCAAATGAGATGAGCTTGGCACTGACTTGAAAGACTATCATCACGTCAAAACTCGACCCCGCCTATATCCACCCAAACAGGAACCCAGACCTTCTTTCGACTCACTGCCGAGCTTACTCAAGCCTGACAAGCACTCTCACAACCTCACCTGACGTCGTCCATTCTCCTAACCGACCTCCCGTACCAAACTTCCCACTCTCATTTTTCATAAGTCCGGACGCGAAGCTGACGAACCATGGAACACGACGAGTCTCCAGTCGTGAGCAGGGGTGGAACGAGGGGGGCAACATCGAATTTTCCCCGAGTAATCGCAAATCTTGCAAATGCCGTCCCGTTTTCAACCCTCCACGGCCATCCTCTTTCGGATAAGCATGTCTTTTTTCAGCCTCGTGTCACCCTTGCCTGCTTCTTATTTCATCTTCATATGAACCCACTCCAACGGTCTAGAAAGGCGCACCATGTGTGCATGCACATCCGCTCCGAGCCGAAACGCCTCTCTCATTGGCTTTAGGAAGGAAAGCTCCGCTGCTCCATGCCGTGCCTCTCTGGAGGCGCTGGGATCCATGACGTCGCGTCTTCGTTGAAAATGACGCCGCGCGCCGTCATGAGCTTCAGTCTTTTGCCCGCCCAGTGTCGCATCGCGCTCATTCGGCTGGTTCGTTTGAGGCGTCTGGGCCCGGATGAGCTATTGGCTGCTTAGTTATGTGATAGTTGTCTTGTCTTCGTGATTTCCTATAAGGATCAATGATTCCAATGACTTGACAAGTGATTGTAAACAAATCTCGTAGACTATTCTTGGCCTTCTTTCCAAACCCAAGAATTCATATCAGTAATCACGCACAAAAATGGCTTCACAAGCAGCATACGCAGCCGAAAAGGCCATTGGCCACCAAGACGACGCCATCACCGCCCAGGATGTAACCGAATACAGCGGAAACAAAGGTGACGACGGCGAGCTCATGAAGGCACTCGTATGGCAAGGCAAGAACAAGGTCGAAGTTGGTGAGTGATGAAGAACCAGTGTTTGCCCCCTCTTGCAATCGTACATCCTAACCTCGCCGCCCAGTCACCGTTCCAAAGCCAAAGATTCTCGAGGCCACCGATGTCATCCTCAAGGTCACCGGCAGCACGCTCTGCGGCAGCGACCTCCATCTCCTCCACGGCTCCGTCGTCCAGATGAACAAGGGCGACATCCTCGGCCATGAGTTCTGTGGTGTCGTCGACCAAGTCGGATCCGCCGTCACCAAAGCACAGGTCGGCAAGCGCTACGTCGCCTCATTCCAAATCGCGTGCGGAAGTGTAGGTTTCATGTCTTCTTCGTAGACACTAATGAGTGTAGCAAGAAGCTGACAAAAATCCAGTGCTTCTACTGCAAGCAAAAACTTTCCTCCCAGTGCGAGCGGACAAACTCCAACACCATGGAGAAGTCCATGTACGGCTCCCAAACGGCCGGCATGTTCGGCTACTCCCACTTCACGGGTGGTTTCGCCGGCGGCCAGGCAGAGTACGTCCGCGTGCCCCTCGGCGACGTCAACCTCCTCGCCATCCCAGACAACGTCCCCGACGAAAAGGCCCTCTACCTCTCCGACGTCCTCGCCACGTCCTACAGCTGCGTCAAAGACACAGCCGTCTACCCCAACGACCAAGTCGCCATCTGGGGCGCGGGCCCCATTGGCCAAATGGCAGGCGCCTTCGCCCTCGACGAGGGCGCCTCCAAGGTCATCTTCGTCGACACTGAGCCGCGGCTCTCCTACATCAAGTCCAAGTGGCCCGCCGCGCACGCGGACAAGCTCGCGCTCGTCGACTACAAGACGCTCTCGCACGGCGTCACGAATAAAGAGACGGTCGTCTCGCGGCTGAAGGAACTCTGCGGTGGTCGCGGGCCGGACGCCGCGCTCGAGTGCGCGGCGGGAGAGTACCCCAAGGGCTGGCTGCACACGGTGGAGATCGCGCTCGGCGCGGAGACTGACACGAGCGAGATTGTCAACGAGATGATTGAGGGCGTGCGCAATTTTGGCAGGGCGGGCATCACGGGCGTGTACGTTGGGTACACGAATCACTTCAATATCGGTTCCCTTATGGAGCGCGGGGTGCGGCTCATCGGTAATGGGCAGGCTCCTGTGCATCTGTACTGGGAGGATCTGCTGAAGAAGATTCAGGAGGGCAAGATTGATGTGTACCAGATGCTGTCGCACCGCATCCGTCTTGATGACTTGGACAAGGTGTATTACAAGTTTGACAAGCATGAGGATGGGATCCAGAAGATTTTTGTCGAGACAAAGTTCTCGTTCCCTAGGGCGGAGGGATCTCCCGAGTTGACGACGTATTAGTCTGGAGGGCTGGCTAGAAGTATGAGCGACGTTTTCGTAATGAGATATGATGAACACTGAATTCTCAGCGAGTCCATCCAAGTAGATCATGTGGTGCGTACTCTGGCGAGCTTTCACCATCCGCAATACGTTGACGGCCCGTACACGATGGAGAATCCAGATGATTTGCGTCTTAAACATTAAGCATCGAACAACGGATTTGAACGGGATCAGCGATCATTGCCCGAGTCTATGGACAAGATCGAAATGTTTCGATCAGGATCAAGTAAGCCGACCACGTCTTGACGCGAACACTTAGGTGTCCCATTATCCAATGAGCGCTGATGACGAGGCATTCATCAGGCAGCTGGATATGCAGGGTCATTGAAGTTCGGATGCAACATCGTCGTTTGAAAATGATAGCACAGTAAGGCTCGTCGCACCGCTCATCGGCCTGTGGCTGATATCGAGCCTTACGACGTGACACATCTCATGGGCATGTGTAGACTTGATACGAGCATCCACAGGGTCCAGTTCAACTTAATCAACTCGGCACATACGATAACATCAAATAAACAGACTTTCTGCCTCCTTCGACGGCTCAACGTAATACACTTTCTCAAGAACACAAAAGTCATCAGCCACCCTCGTCGCCAACTACCCCACCCGTCTACCGCCCCAGTCCACGCAGTTGCTCCTCCTTGATCTCATCAATAGTATCCCTCGACTCGACAGAAACCCTTGAAGTCATGCCCATCCGCTGCTCCCCAACAGATCCCTTGTTGTTCGTCCCATCTCTCGGCGTATACGCTGTCGGGAGAGGGTACTTTGACGTAGAGTATGGGGTGGAGGGGTACGATGTAGGAGCCGAGAAGATGGACTTCACGGCGGTGGAAAGTGAAGAAGAAGAAGAAGACGACGAATCGGTCTTTTGTTTGGTGGTTTTGGTGTAGGTGTTGGGCATTGGGTATCGTGAAGCCATTGCGTTGGAAGTGGTCAGAGTGAAGTTGAGCTTGCTGTGACAAAGTTTGGCTTTATAGACGTTGATTCTTAAGTGATGAGAATGAGGATACAAGTCCGGGAAGATGCCAAGCATAAGTTTAGAGACATCACCTCCCTTTTATACTTTTCACCGCCGACGCCTCTTCACCGAACCCTTGACCCTTTCACTTGACTCGGCGTTGAACAACGCAGATAGATCGCCGCCTTCCAGGCCGCCAATCATGCAACCGGCTGACACCCATCGCGACACCAACGGAAGCCTTGCCCGACGCCATCGCCCATGCAGCTGCCTGGGCTTACGATACCAACACACCAGGAATATGAATTCCTCCTCGTCCCTTTCATCAAGATGGCGTCCGTGACGCATCACGCACGACACCAAAATCCAACCAAAGGGCGCAAAAGATTTCCCTCATGATGGCAGGGCTACACTCCCCGCCAATCGTATCGAACCCAACGCCCGGCGATAAGCCGACGTTCAGCCTGTCCAACTGAGAAAGATGCACCCGACGTCACCAGAGAAAACTCACGACATGGGTACAAACTCAAGACAAGGTAAGTCCGTCAGGTGGGAAACAGCACGGGGGGCTGCCAGTACTTCCACAATGAGGTGTAAATGCCCCACCCGGCGAGCTGAAGCCGGCAAGTCGGGAGGCAGAGTTGACGGGGGAAGCGGGAGATGGGGCCGGCTGGTGGGTGAACTTCGCGTGATTGTCGGGCATTGGGGGAGCGAGGAACCCAAGTGCCGGGCCGGAGGACCAGTCGGGAGCGAGGGGTCGTGGGGCCGCGTGCTGCCGGGCTTGTGCCGTGCAGGGGGGTGAGGAACGCAGTCGTGCCGCGATCCGTCAGTGCCTGCTTGCGAAGATTACAAGACAAAAGTTTGTTTGTACGCGACCTATCGGCGGTTGCTGGCAATGTGATCTGCTTACATCGCCGACGTGCCCGCTTCGTGACACATTCGCCAAGCGGTTGGATGCTCATGATTGTCGTCTCTAAGCTGTGTGCCGCGGAGGTTGGATAGCCCGTCTGACATTCGCAAAACAGCACGTTCCGACTTGTAGCATTGGACATCACATCACCTGGCAAACTACAGCAGAGCAGGTTGAATTTGAACTTTTTGGTGGTATCTTGAAGTAAATAGAAACTTAGGTATCTTTCATCGCCCACCCTTCATGACAGACATTAAATTCTCAGTGGGGTTCATCTTATCAACCCCGCCTCGGCATCGCTATGCAGTAGAACCCCCACATCATCCCCCTCTTTAAACACCAACAGTCTTCTCGTGGTGCGTAATGTCACCGTCGCTGTTGGGCACCGCCTTGTCGCCCTCGGCGGCCTGGCGCTCGCGGAAGTTGGTGGCGGGTCTCCAGCCGACCGACTTGCTGGCGACACTGACCTCGGCGTAGAGCTCCTCGACCTCCTCGAGGGTAAGACCCTTGGTCTCGTAGATGAAGAAGTAGACGAAGGCGATGCAGACGAAGCAGCACGCGAACCAGACGAAGAAGATCTTGGACTGCAGGTTGGCGTAGCCGTCGCCGTAGTTGACGAGGTAGGGGGTGCTGTAGGCAATGGCCCAGTTGAGAAGCCACTGTTCACATGTTAGCGTTTCAAGCTCGAATGTAGGAGAATTTCGTCGAGTAACTTACGTTGGTGGCGGTCGACAGAGACAGAGACTTGGCACGGGTCTTGAGGCCGAAGATCTCACCGTTGACAACCCACGCGAGCGGGCCCCAGGTGGAGGCGAAGAAGAAGATGTAGACGCAGACAAAGGCGATGGCGGCCTTTTGCGCGGGCAGGTTGTACACGATAATGTTGCCGGCGTCGTCCTGGCCCGTGGTCAAGGTTCCCAGCATGGCGACGAGGAATTGCGAGACGCACATGCCGACGGCACCCCAGAGAAGCAAGGGGCGACGTCCCCAGCGGTCGACGGCCCACATACCGGGGAGAGTCGAAGCGACGTTGATGGACGAGGTGATCATACCGATGACAAAACCGTTGGAGAAGCCAGAGTTTTGGAAGTACTGCGTTCCGTAGTAGAAGATGAAGTTGATACCGGTCAGCTGCTGGAGCGCCTGGAGAGCGCAGCCGGTGAACTGGCGCTTGAGGACGGGGGGCTTGAAGCAGTCGAGGTAGCTACCGGTGCCGATGGTGGCCTCGTAGTCGTTGTTGGCCTTGATCTCGGCAATCTCCTCGGCGACGTAGGCATCGTTCTCGGGAAGGCGGCGGATCTTGGCCAAGGCCTTGGTGGCGCGGTCAATGTGGCCCTGCTTGATGAGGAAGCGAGGCGTCTCGGGCAAGAGAAGCATGCCGAAGAAGAGGATGAGAGACCAGGCGAACTGGACGGCGATGGGGATGCGGTAGGATCCAGTGTCCTGGCGGGCGTGCGTTGCGTTGTTAATGATGGCAGCCAGGAGCAGACCGATGGTGATGGCCCATTGGTAGGCGCCGACGATGGCACCACGAATCCACTTGGGGGCGGTCTCGGATTGGTAGAGGGGGACTGTACACGGTTAGCAGAGGTTCTTCATGACGGAGAAGAATAACACTGACCCAGGGCGGAAATCAGACCGACTCCGAAACCGGCGAAGAAACGACCGGCCAGGAAAAGGGGAATGGCAGTAGCAACGGTCTGGAGAACAACACCGAGGTTGAAAACCCAGCACGAGGCGACGAGGGCCATGCGACGTCCGATGGTATCAGCGAGGAAGGGGGAGGCCAGGGCACCGAAGAAAGTGCCGGCAGAGAGGATGGAGACGATGGCGGATTCCTGGTCGGGCGAGACGTCCTTGTTACCGGCGGTGTTCACGTAGCCGGTGCTGAAGAGGCGTTGCCAGTAGGACTGTCGAAAGGCGGTTAGTTTGTACTTCTTTTACCAAGGTGTTGGGAATCAAGACATACCATCTCGAGGATGCCATTAATGGTACCGGTGTCATATCCGAAGAGGAGACCGCCAAAGGCGACGAAGAAGCCAATGGCAATGGCCGGCCAGGCCTTGCCTGGGACACCCTCAGGCTTGATACCCATGATGACGGCGGGCTACGGTATCTGGTTTGAGTGTGATGTTGGCAATGTGAGAAGAAGAGGCCAAGCCGTGTTCAGCAGAGGGGATGCAGTTGCTCGGACTCTGCGTCTGAGAGGAAGAGTGTTGGGCAGTGAAAGGCTTGAGCGCGACGACGGAGAAGAAAGAAAGACACCTGGGGAAGAGATGGGAGGAAACGACGAGCATATAAACTCGTCCCCAGAATGCGGTACGACGCGGAGCTCCCACACAACAGGAAACCTTCCCCAAGGTGGGGGAAAGTGGAAGAGGTGCCACGGTGCTACCGCATGTTACCTGAGTTACCTACGCAGTAGTAGGACTTTTCGTGGTATCCGTATTCCGTAGGCGGGCCATGACAAGGCAACAAGGTTTCCTTTCTGCAAAGGGGGGGTGTAATTGACCTCAAGTTCAGACAAACCATGTGGAGAGACGTCCAACAGGTCAGGATAGGGCCGATGGACGATCACGAGGTGATGTTGGGATGTGGAGGGAGGAAGAAGGAGAGTGTGGGTTGACCGTGAGCTCGCGGAACCTAGTACCAACACATCAAGGCATCTGAGCTGCAAGAAACCAAGTATTGGGTACTTTGTACATTTGTGACGATCCCACGAGCGAGGTGGCAGGGGGAGGTAGACCATAAAAAAACCAGAAACAATAAAACAGACTACCTTGGTGTATCCGCAGTCGTAAAGTCGCCAGTTTAGCCCGCCAGGTTTTCCCATGGGTCCCCCTCATCCCCCAGCAAATGTGAATGAGCCCCAGCAGGGGAATGGCCGGCGCTAGTCAGGTAAGAGGGTGTGAAGGAGAAGGGAGAGAGTGTGAGGGGGGAGACTCTACAGACTCTGGGGTAGCTCCGGTCGGTAGCAAGTGTTTCACAGCAATTGAACTCTTTCTCAGCGGCGTGATACGGAGGCACGCAGGCATATACTGTGTACGGAGTAGGTTGGTTCATACATAGGTAAGAGACGCGGACTGGCGGCAGATGTCTGCTCTACGCGCCTAGTCTCGGCTTGGCCCAGTCAGGCAAGGTAAAGATATCCGAGGCTGGATTTAAAGCAACGGGAAGGGCACATGAGCAACGCCCCCAACGGTTCATCGGACAAGCGCGACCGACGTTGAATAGGTACAATGGGATTGTTTCCGCCCGATGGCATGGATACGGAGTGCGTGATCTTGGTAAAGTTGGGTGTGGTGGAAAAGTTTTTCTGGGTCGCATCGAGTGGCATCAAGTCGAATCTCGTGCATCCCCGCGAGTCGTTCGCCCAAGACTTTGGCAAAGGTTTTCTGGAGAACTGGAGGACATGGAGAAGATGGAGAAAGGGCGGGGAGTTTGGAGATTGCCAGGGCGTGGGCCGTGGGGCAGCTTTTTCTGGTGAGATAAAACACGCCCCTCCCTCCCTTCTGATGATTGTGTTCTACTGCGTATACGTAGTAGACTATCCGCAATGGTCCGATTCATTGTTGGTTTGCGTCTGTTTTTGGGTTCAACGTGGGCCTGGCATCGTGTAAGGTACCTAGACATCCATTTAGCTGGTGCCAAACAGAGTGGATGAAGTGCTGTGTTTACAGAGTAGTGGCATTGTATCGCAACTATTGCCCTTGATGCTGATGGTACCGTATCCGTACGAAGTAGAGACTTGCAGACTCGGGGATTTGTGATCGGTCAAGGTACACACTGCTCGAGGTACTCCGCAGTCTATACATTGACGGATCGCTAGGTAATCAGGTACCTGGACCTGGAAGCTTCAGCCATCAATCATCGAGGTGGAGTTTGAACGTGCGAAATGTGGGCGAGAAGAAGACGATGGGAGCGAGAGAATGTGCGGTTTGCGGCTCGCCAGCCAGTGACGGCGTAGCTTGTAGGTACGTACTGCGTAGTGGAAGCGGGCTGGGGAAACTTGAAAGTTGTGTGGAGACCCCACAACGGTCACGCCGCGTCGCCGCCCGAGGGCATCGCTTAGGGATACGTACTCTTTCTCAATGTGGAGTTGCGTACTCTCGGCGATCCAATCAGCCAAGCAGATCGCCTGAGCTTGGAAGGAAACAAGCAACGGCCAAGGAAGTCGCTACTCTTCACTTTCTCTCTCTCTCTCACACTTGGTTACTGAGGTGCTGTCTGCCTCAAATGAGATCTTTCGATTGATGAGCTTACATAAGGAGGCACGCAACTCCGAAAGCAACTAACAATGCAGCCAAGACCCGCCGTGGCCGGCTTCGCCAACTGCCGTCTTCACAAGCTCACAGCGTTTGCTTCCGTTCAAGGCTTGATTGACGATGGACATGGCCATTCTCGCCCAGCTTCTTCCTCTCACCTCATGCATCGTGTCACCCTCGTGATCTGCGGCGAGTCCTGCCCAGTCATTTCGAGACATCTGACATGCTGCCCTACACCGTAGCATGTTCCCGACTCACTGGGTCATGGCAATCATCGCCTGGCCTCGGCTCAGTCTCACTCTCCTCTCAGTGTCGTTCCCCAAAGTCTCACTTTTATTTAGTGAGCTTTCCTATGAGCGTGAGTGAGAGACAAGTGAGACGTGAGGTGAAGGGACCCTGGCCATGATCGACTGAAAAAGTCGAAACTCACTTTCGGCCCGTTTCCTCGCAGCTGCCCCGTCAATACCTTAATGTGCCCACGCTCCTCCCCTGCTCACCTCTCCACGTTGGATCCGCAGCTTCTCGTACTGGCTGCTCTCATTCGCTGCGCATTCACCACTTCATCTCCAACGCTATTTCTCTCGCTGCTACTCTTTACAAGATTTCCACCTTCATCGTCAGCTGCGACATGAAAGTTTTTCTTCATCTTCATTTTTTGTTTAATGAACCATGATACTTTTAGTTTTCATTCACGATGGCATCACGACATAATCAAAATTGACACATTCGCTCAAATGAAATTACTAGCAAACCACTCAAAAGTGTTTGCTGCAAGCATAATCCGTCACCAGATCGCCGAATCGCAAAAAGACGTCAGTGGCTTTATTCGGAATTCACCGACCATCTTTCATTCGGCCGCCCTCACACCATCTCGACGCTCGCCGTCTCCGCGTCTCCACCCCTCAAGCGGCGCCCGTTATTGCCCGCGCCTACGCGGTATACTCGCCGCCATGAACTTGACTGTACTCGAACGGGTACAGTACTCTGCTATGTGGACTTTTCTGCATTCAATACCTACCAAGTGTTGTGCGGCGTGCCTGTCCATCCCGTCGGTTCGGGTGACAGCTGCCATTACAGCACTGACTTCCGTGGGAAAGTCTCGTAAGATCACGACTACTGTCGACAATGACTCTCATCCCAGCCCAACGTCTCCATCCGGCCCGATGCCTGTCAAGTCTTGTCAGATCGGCCGTGTTCCATAATCTCGCTCTTTTAAGCGCCTCATCCCCAGTCGCCCACATTCCCGCTACCTCTCTCGGCGCTTCTTCGTTGTCTTTGCCCCGGGCTCCATCCCGGCTTCGGCCAACAATCCTGGCGCAAAACGCCGCAAACCCACGACGACTTCACTTGAGCCGCCCATGCTCCTACGCCCTTAACGCCTCCTCGCAATCGATTTACAGACGTCGTTCGATGTGCTAGCCTTTGTAGGCACTTCTCGTGTTCTCAACAACCTCTCAACATACATCACCACCACCTTTCACCCCATCATCACCCGTTAGCCAACGACCTAATGCACAGCACAGCGCGCCGCAACGTTGACAGGCCGCTTGGCAGCGAGAATGGGCTCCGTCTCGGACCTGAGACGCCTCATTTGCGGGCGCTCGCGCAGTTCTCGCTTGCGAATATACCAGTAGTCCCACCAAAGGCCCGATATCTCCAGAAACGCGGGGTTCTTTCTCTCCGCCAGCGCGCCTTTGCTGGAGAATCCTCGCGTATCGAACTATCAATGGCTATCCCTAGCTCGCCCGCAATCGAGCGCCGACGCCTCCTCGGTCTGACGGGGCTTTTCCCCTCGAAACACCATACAAATTTTGAAATGGCTCCAACGCCTCCTGGGAAATGCGGCAACAGAAAAGAGTCCAACTTTCAACCCAGCTAAAGCGCACTTGAGATAGTAGGTTTACGACCTCGCCTACCGTGGCGTGGGAGAGTGTGGGAGGCTCAAGATGCATTCGCGGGTATGGACCAACAGCAGAGCCGCTGCCGCTACTGCTCTTCCAACGAAGAGGATCGCCACCGTGCCGGCTACGCGGCCTCGAATGATGGCCGGTATCGTTATGCTCACATGATCAACTCGAGGGGCTACAGGCTGGCCAGGCACCGGCCTCAGCGTTCCCGGGACTTTGGCCTGCTGCGGGCAGTGAGGCCAGACTGGTTTCTTTCCGGGGAAGCACCGCGGGGGCCGATGGGTCGTCCCCGTGTCTCTGACGGCCCAGTGGCTACAGAAACGGCGGGCTGGGTGCGCGCTGGGTACGGGGCTGGTGATCTGACCGATTTCTGACCTAGTCTTCACGTACCCCTCAACTGCGCATCACGAGACAACGCGGAGTCTGGAGAAGCCTGCTTACTCCAGAATCCAGAATGTAACCAGCTCCCACGCGTGCCACGCGCGGACCTGTAGGGAACCCGAGCTGGAGCCTCCATCGGTCAAAAGCCACGCTGTGTGAGGGTCGAGATCTGGTAATCGGCCCGTTACATAAATCCCCGACAAGGTGCATAAATCTGATAACCACCGTCTTGGTATCGCATGGCCTTATTGTTGAGAATCAGGGGCCTCGAATATTTTGGTTCAATTTGATGCCAGATTTGAGGATAGAGCTGATCGCTGGGGAAAAATCAAGGTCGAATGCTCAAAATCTCGTTGTTCTTGATAAAGTCATCAAAAGTTCGGCCCTGACTTACTTAGACTTGGAAGTCCTGAGAACGCCAAGTGGCACACAACAGCGAGTCACGGCTCTTAGTTGAGGAGAAAGCAAGTTGCCAGAGGAACGAACACAAGCTGTGTAAAGAGTGTCTCAATGTGGCATTATCAAGCTCTCCAACTGATTTA